TGGAGGAGGACGAGGTGGACAGGTTCCCGCTGCTGCCGCTCGGCACCGACTGGTAACCCAGGTAGGAGCGCACGGTGCTGCCGTAGGGTGAGGACATGCCCCCCGGTCCCGGCCCGGCTCCCCCTTCTTCCTTACGGGGCCCTTTGCAAGAGTCCAGGGTCTCGAAGACCGGCTCCACCTTGGTCTCCACGATCTGGGGCGGGAAGCAGCCCGGCAGCCCCCCCGGTTTGTGGCTCTGGCTGGCGCAGGGGTGGCTGTGCCGGGCGAGGCTGATGTAGGTGTAGTCGGGCTTCTTGCTCCCGCCGCTGCCTTTATAGTCCTCGGCGAAGAGATCGGAAAGGAAATCTTGGCCGGCGCCGCTGCTGCAGGGAGGCTCAAAGTTGCCCCCTGCTGCTGCTGCTGCTGCGGCGGCGGGAGGCGGCTGCGCCGGCGGCTGCGATGCCAGGGGGTCCAGGTAGGGGCTGAAGTCGATGGCTCTCTCGTGGTCCCCTACGGTGAGCTCGGTCATGGAGCGGCCCCCGGCCGCCCGCGGGTGCAGCTTGTTGAGCGCAGCCAGACAGTCCGCCTCGTAATAGAAATTAGCCACTTCCATGGATTTAAAGGCGGGAGGCTGGATGGGGAGGCATGCTGCGTCCCAGGCCACCAGGCGTTGCATGAAAGCAAAGGGGGATGCGGGGAGGAGGACAGGACGCGGGGGGCCCCCCCGGCAGAGGGTCAGGCTGCCGCCGTCGGGGTGGGGGCTGTATGGGGGGGCTCCGGACCCGGCCTCAGCCTCCGATGCTGGGCACGGCCCCCGGCTGCGCTGCCCACCGGGGCTGGGTCAGGTCCTGCGGCGCGGCGGGGCTTCACCGCTCCGGGAGCTGCGGCGGGAGCTGGCGCGTCTCGTCCGGACCATCTGGTTCTGGGGCCCGTGTCCCAAAGTCTCTGACTTAGGAAAGTTCCTTTCCCCGGTTATTTATAGGGGCGGTGGATCCCATAGCAACAGGCGCGTCACCGCCTGGCCGCCTGCCACACTGCACGCTCGGTAACTGCCGGCCCCGGCCCCGGCCGCGGCCCCGGAGGCGGCTCCCGGGGCGGGTATTGCCAAGTGCGGTGCCCGCCGAGCGGCCGCGCTGCGGACGGGGCTTCGCGGGGGAGCGGGCCCCGGCGGGGCGGCAGGAGCGGGGTCCGGGACACGCACACGCGTGTGTCGGGACGGTGCCGCCGGCTCCCTGCCCGAGGGGCTCCCTCCTTCGCGCCCGGGAGCGGGCTGGGGGCTGGCGGCGCTGCCGAGGTGGTGGGGGCAGGTCCCGGCTGCGCCCCTGTTCCCTTGGGAAATAGAGGGAAAGAGGGATTTTCCGGAGCCCCTTAGGTGAGGCAGGGGAAAGGCTGCAAACAGACAGATCCCGTTATTCTCCGTCCCGTGCTTGCTTGAGTCAGTCCCAGGGGCAATGAGCACCATCCATCTGAATGGGCACAGAGGGGTCGGAGCAGGGCACGGGGCTGCTGCAGGCCTCCTGCATTCCAGCAGCAAAAGAGTCGAGCCAGTGCAGAGCTCCCCTTGCCATCTCTTTGTGCAGGGATGGTGGCCTTATAGTTTACCTTGGCGTATTTGCTTTGCATGATATGGTGCAACTGTCAGGGTACACGAGCGACAGGGAATCAAAGGGGACTGACTGTATCCCACACGGTTCAGAAGGGAAATGAGATACGTGCATAGAAACATGGAATCCAAATGTTTTTAGAATCGCGGGTTAAGTTTGGGAAGGAAGACTGAATCTTGATGTCCGTTTTAATTAAAGACACCCACCTTGGGAATCAAACTTATATTTTCACTCTCTTACTCCCACATTTACCTGTCTACAAGCTGGTGATTCATCCCCAGAATAAAGGACATTAATTTAAAACAAAACATATAATTAAAGGAAGTAGGAGTGTCCTTCGCCTCAGTAAAGAAGACCCAGCACTGCAGGGAAAATGACATTGCCTCTTAGAATAATGTGAAGCAATCCTGCGGTGTGGGAAATATTGTAACGTTAAGCCAGAGGAACAGGTATTGCATTATACGATTCAAACAGTCAACTGTTCATAATGTCCAAACCTCAGAACTTTGAAAAGAGGAAGAATTCAAGAATCAGGCAGTGATCATCGGACTTTTTCTCACTTTAGTTTTTAATTTGCTTTTTCTTTCCCAGTTTTAAAAGGATTTCTTTTCTTTCCATAGCAGAAGTACCCTAACAGGTTTTCAGGCTTCAAATAGTTCTAGTTCCATCTTTATCTACCAAGTTAATCTTTGGTGAATGCACCAGAGATTAAATTGGAGCTGGGCCTGGCCAGAGCGCTGGGTCTGGAGGTTGGAGTTGGAGCCCATACCTTCATAAATACAAACATCTGTATTGGGTGCAAATACTGGCAAGTCGCAGTGAGCCAGGGCTTGTTCTTCTGGCTGTTTACTCCCTCGTTCCGTGCCTTTATCCTGCATTCTGATCTGGCAGTTACCTCCAGCCGCTGCCCCAACTGGCCCTTGTAGCCGAGCTCTTGAAAGTTGGCCTCATGTGCTTCCTACCTCCCAGGCATCTCAGGGACCCAGAGCAGGAGGTCTCCTGCTGCAGCGATGCCTTTCTCGGCACTACCCTGACAGCTCTCCAGCTCACCACTGCTGCTGGGTGAAGTCGAGCACTCAGAGTGGTTGGTGACTTCCCTGGGCAGTTTTTCAAGACAGTTTTGGAGATCTCAGTTTGCCCTTTTCAAGCTTCTGCCCTCTCCTCCCCTGCTCTGCAGCACTTGTACTGCTGCCTGGGCTGATCTTCCCTAACAAAACACAGTGCCTGTGCAACTGTCATGTGAAACAGATTATATCAGGGATGGTGTGGCCCACACCTCACTGCCAGGCCAGTGCTGAGTAATCCTGTAGTCACCGAGATCACACGTCAGCCGGGGTGGTAATTGAGGTTGGATGCCCAGCTTGTCCCCTCCTTGCCTTCTCCCCCCTCACCTCCCTGCTGTACCTGGATCTCTTTAAACTTCCTCCAGCTCACCTCAAACCCCAGCATCCACTCTCATGGAGCCAACGTCCGTTCTCAGCTTCTCATGGGAACCTTGTCGGCGGCTCTAACCACGTATCCAAAACCCTGGCATTCGACAAGCAGGTTCTGAGCTAACTCTGGTCTCTCATAAATTGCTTCTGCACTTGTCATAACAAATGCATGGCCAGAAATGGGGTTTTTGGAATGGGAACAGGTGCAGAGAGAGGCTCGCACAGTGAGGGTTGAGGGGAGGCCTGGGCACACTGAGCTCCATCCCTTGGCCTGGCCACATGTGCAGAGGCTGCTAGTAATCGTCCTGGAAAACTCTTCAGAGAGATGCTTTAGATAGGAGAATAGATTCAGAGATTTCTGGTGAAGGGATCCAGGCACTGCTGTGAAGAACCCACGGAAGCAGGTTTGCTGTCTCCCAACAGAGTGATTTTGAACAGGAAGGCAGCCCTTCTGTGCAAGCACCTTATTCCTAGTGATTCCATGCTTTCCTTTCTTCAGAACTAGTTAGCTGAGGAAGGAGACAGCATAACTCACAAATCACTTAGTAAGAACATAAAGCATATTTGAGCAGAAAGAAATCTGATGCAATAGAATCCAGATCCCTCTACATTCATGTGTGAAACAAGGTAGACACTGGGAGGGAAACAGAAAGATACCAGAAAAGGTGGAGGGGAGAATCTCAGTGCTCATTTCAGTCATGAATTAAATTCTGCTCTTCAGTATTTCCTTTGTTCTGTAAAAGCCACAACTTTCCAGCTCCAGGCTCAGACCTACGATAAAGCATTGCAAAGGCATTTTCTTCCTGGAAATGGTCTTCTTTTCCAGGATTTTTTGCAAGATTTCCAGTTCATGCGCTCCAGGTCTGCAGCAGCTGTCCCTGGAAGGACACCAGCTTTGGGGAGACGCTGTTGGTTTAATGGTGATGGCTCAAACACTGAAGTGTTTATAAGGTCTGTGGACTGAGGACCATACTCTGGGCTGTCTGTAATTTCTGATGTTTCTTGCTGCAGACCTGTCTCAAGTATTATTTCCTTTGCAGTAGCTCTTAACAGATCAGTAAGATCAGAGCTGTATCATGCTAAACCGTGTGTGAGCACAGCCTGTCACCCTGCCCTGCAGAGCAAAACAACAAGGATGGGCAGAAGAGGACAAAGAGGAAAGAGGCTTGTGCCAGAGGTTGGGAGTTGCATCGATGAACGAAGTGCTGTAGGTAGTGTGTTGGAAATGGGCTGAAGAGGAGAATATGAGGGGTTCCAGGGCAGAGCGGTATCCATGCAAACAGGCAGGCTGGGAGAGAGCACAGAGGTGGTGTGGGAAGGTCTCGGGGGGGTAGGAGGGGACCTTGCCTGAAAGACTGGCTTAAGTGGAGCGATGTTGCAATAAGGGCTGCAAAACAGAGAAGTAAAATTGAAATGTATTTCTGAGCATGTTGTGAGCTGTGTTTGCTCCTCTTCCTACCCCCAGGTACCTCTTTATACAGCCGCACACCTATGCCAATGACAACTCTAAAGTTGTACCTGGCAGAGGCCAGATTTCAATCTCTTGCTGTTCTCTGCTGTAAAAGAGCAGTGCTTATGAAATGTCAGGCAGGGGCAATGTCTCAACTCGGAGAGAGGTTGGCTCTCCTTCCGCCTCCCCCAGCCCTGAGACCAGCCTCAAGACTTATTTTAACATAAAAACTGATTGCCACATGCTTTCCTCTCTTCTGAAACCACAGCAGCGATACCCTGCCTTGCAGTCTCCAGTGGCAGGGAGCTCCCCAGGCGCTTGCAGGCCCTGTCTCCTGGCCTCCTTCACTTCTTTTGTTAGAGACCAGAGTCCTCCCCCTCCCTAAGTGCTCCCTCGCCCCTTGTTTCCATGTGACACCGTGATGCTCGGGCAGTTGTTGGTCTTCTGCTGATTTTCTGCTCACCTCTGACCTAGCATTTGCAGCGCTGCGTTGCTCAATCCCACTTTATCTGCACGTTGCTCTTTGCCCTACAGTGCTGCAGAGACGACACCTGGAGATTGGCACCGCTGCCTGCAGACAGCATGAGCAACATACCTTCCCCGACCCCATGGAAAATTTTCCAGAGCAAATTGGAGGTCAGAGCGCCCACTCTGTGGCTCTGCAAGAGACAGAGAAGGAGGCAGAGCCAGAGGGCACACCAACACCCCCGAACGGGACAGTGACAAAGCAGAAGCTGCAGTCTCCAGTCCCGTGTTGCAGAGTCGCGCTGAAGCCATTTGGCTGGCAAGACATGGGTTGGCTTTCCAAGCAGGGACTGTAAGAGGTGACTTTGTGGTTTATGAGTACCCTGTTCCCTTGTATTCCAAAAAGAACTGGCAAAGAAGCTGCTGTCCACCAGCTTTCCAGAAGTTTTCCATAGTTGTCTGACATTCCCTAGGTAATTGTGGCCTCTTTCTTTGATGGATTTATTAAGATCATGTATTAATGCTTTTTTCTAACATATGCAAGCTTTCGAGAGATCCATCAAGGGAACAGGAATTCTGTCCCTCCAGGAGACCCTGCCAAGGGTCAGAATTTCCTAGTACAGAACTTGGGAATTCATCTAGGCATTTTCTAAAAGAGGAGAGCTGTTCAGAGGTGCTGAGGCTGCAGGCCGAGTAGCTGGGACTCCATGGTGTGCTGCTGGGGTGACATAAACCAAGGGAGGACTTAGAGTAACAGGAGAGTGGGCTTAAGAAACAAGATTTTTCTTCATTAAAAGCATTAAGGTCCATGTCCTTGACTGTACAAATACCTTCTTTTCCCTCTGCTCTCATCTTGTGTCAAGCACCATGGAGAAAGTGGAGTTGCCAGGCATCACTTAGGACTTGTAGGTGTGAGTCCTGGCACCTAAAAGCAGCCCCTGGGCTGGTCTGTGTCATCTGGCAGCTGGCTTTGGTGGACTAGGTACCAGGCAGGGATAGCCATGGAGTACCATCCTCCACACGCCTCACCTTTTGGTCCCTGTTGTCTCCGTGTCTACGCATTTACAGCTTCAGACGGGAGCCGTAGGAGTGGCCATTCCAGCTCTCCCACCCACTGACACATTCCCATGCCAGAGCCCAGCAAGGGAGCTGCAGCCAGATCCCGCTCCCTTTGTGCCTTGTGGCGCGGGAAGAGACTGGAATTGCCTAAGCCCAGAGGAGAGAGGTGAGCCCGGAGGATGCGCTGCACCGACGGGCCCGTGCTGGTGGTGGGCAGCAGGGGCTCCAGGTGCCCTGGCAGGTGTCAGTCACAGGGTGAGGCAGTGCCCAGGGCCGTGCCAGCGGCAGTCGGGGTCCCCGGGTCCCCGTTCCGGGGTGGCTGTGGCTGAACGGGGCTCACGGCAGCGCCGGGCGGGCACCGGGCTTCGCACCCAGCCCGCGCCGCCCGCTCGGCCAGGCCCGTCACCGGGCTTGGGGCGCCACCTAGCGGCTCGCGGCGGGGCCGGGGCGGGGCCAGGGGCGGGGCCAGGGGCGGGGCCGGGGCGGGGCAGTTGGCGGTAACCGGCAGCCCGCGCCGGGCGGGCGTTTGAACACTGCTCGCCCCGAAGCCTCTGCTGCCGCACCGGCTGTGCCGCCCGCACACCCCCGGCCTGCTCCCGGGAGCGGCGGGAGGGGTGAGCACAGCACGGCGGGGCCTGGTGTCTGCTGCCCCTGAACAAACCCGGCAGGGATGCAGCTCCTCCGGAGCTTCCTGTACAGCGGTGCCGTCTGTCGTGTCCCGGTACAGCCCTTGTCACCCCAAAGAGTGGAAACGCTCTCAGTGCACAGTTCCATTCAGAGTCTCAGTAGCCTTGTTCTAGATGTGGGACCATGGAACCATGGAATGGTTTGGGTTTGGGTTGGGAAGGACCTTAAAGATCATCCCTGCCATGGGCTGGGTCACCTACTCATAGGCTCCAGTGGAGCTCCAAGAGCTGCCACAGCCATCGTGCCACCACACACTGAGAAAGGGTGAACCCCAGGGATCTGGCACCGCATGGGCATAGTGCCTGATGGAAACAGCACCCTGAAAGTAAAGAAATGTGTCAGGAAACCTGTCAGTGACCTGCACAAGTATCACCTGTGAGGGTGCTGAGGCACTGGCACAGGATGCTCAGAGAAGCTGTGGCTGCCCCATCGCTGGCAGTGTTCAAGGCCGGGTTGGGCAGGGCTTGGATCAAGCTGCTCTAGTGGAAAGTGTCCCTGCCTGTGGGTGGCAGGGGTTGGAACCGGGTGAGTTTTAAGGACCCTTCCAACCCAAACCATTCCATAGTTCTATGATTCTATGATCAGTCAGATACCTGGTTTAGTATTTCACCCACTGCAAATGGATCCATTTAAAATGTTTAAGTGAAATCTGTTTAATTATTTGAAACACTTGTTATTTTAGTGCCATTTTATCTGATACCCAGGTAAGTCTGTTGCAGAAATCATGTTCATAGACACACTCTGGTACCGAGACATCGTGTGGGGCTTTCTCTCCCACCCTGGGGTGTGTTTCTTTGAGGCCACCGGTGAGCAAAGGACCGCTGGATCCCAGCGTTGGCAGCGCTGCACCGGCACGTTACGGGGCTGCCGCTGTGACCGCCGGGGCTCCCCGCAGCCCCGGGGCAGCCGCGCCGCCAGGGGGCGCGCAAGGCACGGGCAGGGGGCGCAGCGCAGGAGGGCGCTGCCGGGACCGCACCGCCCACAGCCAGCTGCGGCCCGCGGGGCGGGGCGGGGCGCCTCCAGATGCGCCGCCAAAGCCTGCCGCCACTCCATTGGCTCCTCCGCGCCGGGCGGCGCTGCCCATTGGCCCGGCGGCAGGGCGGTGGCGCAGGCGATAGGCGGGAGGCGGTGTCGGGGCGTGGCTAGCCGCGCCCGTCCGTCCCGTCCCCCCTCCCGTCCCCCCCTCAGCGGCGCGGCTCGGGCCCATTTCTCGATGCTGCCGCGGGCCGCAGCGCTGCCGCCGGGGCCTGGGCCCCGCCCGCCGCCGGCCGCCGGCCTCCAGGAGCCGCAGCCGCCGCGGGGCCGGGCCATGGCGAGCGCCGGCGCCGCCGACAGCGTCCGCGCGGAGGCGGCGGGGCCGCAGGCGGAGGCCGCGGAAGAGCCCGAGGGCGGCAGCCGGCGGTGGGGCGCGCAGCACGCCGGGGCCCGCGAGCTGGCCGAGCTCTACTCCCCAGGTGAGGGCGGTGGCGGAGGGAGGAGCGTGGGGGGGGGGCCGGGGGAAGGGACCCCAAGGGGACTCCCCCCGGGCCCGGCTCCCCCCGGGCCATCCCGGCGCGGCTGCAGAGAGCCCCGGGTTAGCGGTGCCGCACGCTGGTGGCCTGCGCTGGGCGGGCGAGCGCGGCTGGTTCAAGCAGGGCTGGGAAGGGGCAGCGCTGCTGTGGCGGGGGTCTCTAATGAGAACCTGCTCACAGTGAATGCTCTGCCCTTTAAATGCTCACGCAGCCTTCATTTTGTACCTAAGTGCAGACGTGAGAGCTCGGGTGCTGCACCCAGTAACAGCAGGAGCTTTCCTTTCAGGATACTTGGTGGCTACTTGAGATACTCCTGGCACCTCGGAACTGGGTGGGGGATGTTTGAGGCTTTGGTTTGGCCTTGTCTTCCTGAGGCTGGCTGTTGGTCAGCCGCGGCAGCTCTGTGATTGTGCCTTGGAAATAACGGCAAACTCCTTATAATGGAGTATGCTGTTGTCTTTAGGTCGCTGTGAGCGATGCCAGGTGTTCCTGCCATTTTTGTCCTTCATTCCCTGGTGAAGGATTGGGAAAGGGAAGATAAGCTTTCTCCATCTTGTGGTTTCCAGCAGGTCAGCTGAACACCTTAGCTTGTGTGTTCAAGGCCATTATGGAAAAGCAGTTCTTACTTGCACAGAGCCAAGTAACAATAAGGAAACAAAGGTATCCATTAGTTTGCCACTTTTCCAGACTGTCCAGGGTAAGTGCCTACTTCAGCTTGCAGTGGTCCCCTCTTCCTTGCCCTGAGAGAAGGTGGTGCGTGACGTCCTTCAGCTGGTCTAGAAGCACAGCTCTGATCCAGGCGCTGACCAGTTCCTGTGCTTTACACACAAGCAAACACCAGCTTTCCGATTGCGCTGTGCTCTTGCTCATAAGGAAAAGATTTTCCTCCCCAAACAACTTGCTGCTCTTATCTTCAGCTGTGGACGTAAGTTCCTGGGAAGTCTGTGGAGCAGCATGTGTACCCATCAGTAGAGAGCTGTGCCAGTAGATTAGATGTGCATTTCTTTCTGGTATTACATAAATGACTTACATAAATGATGTCAGAATATGTGTTACGGTGGAAGCACATGATGTTGAACTACTGAGCAGGAAGTCTTAAGAACAGGGATTACATATAATTGTGTAGAGTGAATATGACTCTGCAGTATTTCCACTATTTCTTTAAGCATGTACTTAGTGGCTTTGGCACCTTATTCCTTCAGGTGGGGTGTACTTTTAAACTTGAGAGCATCCCTGGCAGTGTTCAGGGCCAGGTTGAACGGGGCTTGGAGCAACCTGCTCCAGTGGAAGGTGTCCCTGCCCATGGCAGAGGGTTGGGACTGGATAAACTTTAAGGTCCTTTCTAACACAAACCATTACCCATGATCCAAGCACAAGTTGTTGATGCTGACTCTGCTCCTGTGGCTGATTCGCCTTCCTAGTCTGGGCCTGCATTTCTGGACTTGGGTATCTCCAGGCAGTCACCTTGAGATCCCATGTTCAGAGTACAGAGCTGTTTGCATAGACTGAACTCCTGGGACCCGCTGGTAAGGAGCGAGTGTTTCCCCACAGTCAGCTAATTGTTCCGTGAGGATCTACCCACTTCTCTCCCCTAATCAAGGTGTGGTTTCCTTATGCAAGGAGCATTAATTAACTCTTACTTTCATTACTCCAGGGATCTCTTTATAGTGTCCCACATTGCCACCTGATGCTACCTGGAAGTATGCTTGTTCTTGTGTCTTAATTTAATTTTAGGATCCTCTGCTACTGCGGAGGATGTTGGTTTGTACACTTATGGCCTCTAAAAGTCTTTGTTCACAGTGCTTTAAAATGTTGCTTTGTAGGCACATTGAAGAGAACACTGATCCTCCTTCAGTGTTCCTAGCTTCCTTTCCACTGCATGGGATAGTTGAGATGAGGGATTTGATTTAGCATTTAGGAGGAGAAATTTGATCAGGCAGTAGGTCAGTGTAGTGGAGTAGTAGGAAAGAAGCTCCTGTCCTGAACGCGTGCCAGACATGTGAGTGTGCCTCTGCTCCTGTGAGAGGATGTGCACCTTGCACACGGTCCTTCCTGACTGCTCCCCTGCATGTTTCTGTGCCTCCAGCTCGAGTGGTACAAAGTGTATAAGGCTGCAGGAGAGAATGGGAATGGTCAGTGGGGTTAAACTGCTCTGGAAGGCCTTGCTCAAGAGCAGTTGTGCTGTCTGGCCCCTGAAATAGGTGAACAGTGAACAATGCTCTGCTCCTGAGCATGTCGAGCTAACTACAGCCAGGGCCCTGCTGGGCCAAGGTGGTGGCTCAGATCATCTTGGATTTAGGCATTAAAGGTCTGTTTCTGATGACTTAATCCATGTGGGTCTTGCCCTGAGTGTTCTCTTGCTCTCAGCATCAGTGCCTTCTAAGGCTCTAGCAGTGACTGACAGGCAGAAGCTTTCTGCTGCTAATCTGAATGTTCAAAGTGTTACCATATGCTGATATGTCTCTTTTTATAGGCAATAAATGAGGGGGTTGTTCAGATACAGTAGTAGTACAGCGATGTACAAGAGAGAGTTTTTGCCAGATCTTTCTCGTTGCTTTTTCTGTCTCCTCTCATTGTGCAATGGTGAAGCGGTCATAGGCTTCTGCCTGGGAGAGGGAAGGCAAAGACAAGGCTGCAGGAGTTAAGCAAGCTTTAGAAGTATAGCTCAAATGTCAGGAAAGCAGTTCTGGGGTCATCAGAATACAGGATGATGCTTTTTCCTGCAAGCACCACAGCTTTATTTACAAGCACTGAGATTCTAAATACTGCAGATCATGAGGTGACTTAACTACAGGGCATCTGAAGCCAAGAATTTGTTCCCGTATTCAGCCATCCCAGCAACACTGAATATTGAATGAAATGGAGATTTGAAAAAGGATGTGATGCAGAGGAGCATAATGCCAGCAACCGCAGGGGGAAGGAAACTAGGCCAATGTCAGATGATGTCTGATTTGTCCCTGTTATTTGGGCAAGGGCACAGGGAAGGGGTTAGTGGTGGCTGGAGGAAGAAGACTATCAGAACAAAATCTGCACACCTCCTGTGGATAAGTAAGTTTCTGTTTCGGTTCCCTGTCAGACAAATGGAGTCAGTCATCCAGGCAGTGGAATGTCTGTATTATTGCAGATGTCAAAATGTCCTCTCAGATAAACTAAAACAAGCTTTTTCTCCTTCTTTTCCCCAACAGGAAAGAGGCTGCAGGAGTGGATCTCGGTCATCCTGTGCTTCTCTCTCATCTGCTTCAATTTTTACAATCTTCTCTTCTACTTGCGCCTGGAACACATGCCCTCAGTGATTGTTGGGATCTGTAAGTAGGAGCCGTTCGCTGCCATGAACAAGACTGTTGTAATGCTGGAAACAAGTGTGTGATCTTTTAGGCTTGACTTGCTGTTGAAAGGGACAGGGGCGTTCCTGTGTGTGCAATTGCACTGCCTCTGAAACGGAGGCCATCTGCAAAAGTTTCTAGTGCTTTCTCTTTTTCAGAGGCTTCTTGTATCTCAAAGGTGGAGTTTTTAGCGTAGCTACTGCACTGTGGTGTTCTTATGTAGTCACTGCAAGTGTGAGGACTATTAAGAGGGGAAAAGCCTTCATGACTGTCACAGCTGGCAAGAAAATGCATTGATTGACAATACTCACAACAACTTCCCAGAGAGCAGAAGCCCAATTATTTCTGGAGGCCGAGAACTAAAAGTGGGTATTTGGGAGTGTTGTGATTTCAGCCTGAAACATGAAGTTTGGCCTTTGTTCTGAATGCAGCTTTTTTGTGGCAGTAAAAGGGACTGTTGGTCTCTTATTACTCCATTTGATTGGGAGCATAGGCAAGCAAGTGCAGTATTGCATCTCTGCCTTAGGTGTGTAGAAGTATTTAAGTTGTCAGTACAGAGGCAGCTGGTGTAGGTGCGCTGAGAGTTGGTGATTTAATCTGAAAATATGGAGAGGAAGAACTAGTAAAGAATTCTAGTATGATGCTGTACACCTTTACTGATAGAATGAGGAATTGCATGGGATTAGCTGAAGGAAAATCTTGTTTTGGAATAACCTGAGTGTGAAAAGGGACTCCACAACATTCATTACATCATTCAAAGCCTAATCCTACGTACAACCTGAATGTTGCTTAACACTTGGAGCCTAAAGTGTCAGTGTTTACATGAGCACTGTGTTACTGAGATGGTGTTGAAATGCTGTGGCACAGAAGCTTTTTTGGGAGCAGGCAGAAGAGAGGGCAGTGGAGCGGGCTGAGCTGCAGCAGGTGGGCAGCTTGGCTTGCTCAGTCTGTTGGCATTTCCTGGGCAGCAGATGTTCCTGGTGGCTGTGTGGTTGTGTGCATATGGGAGGTGATGTGGGAAAAGGAAAGAGGATTGAATTTGGGAATCGAAGAGCCATCTCTGCAGTGCATACCTCTCATAACTTTCTGGTTAGAGTCTAATATGGGATGAGGGAGGGAAGAGAATAGTAACTAGAGCATTTCAGCAGTCTTCTGCTGTCCTTGTGATGAATATTAAATGCAGGGTTGGCAGCATGGGTGTGTATAAAGGTTTATGTATTTTAATATGATTTCCCAGTTAACTGAAAGGAGACCAAATGGTGTCATTCTTCAGGACACCATGTAAGCTAGCTACAGGTGTTCAGCTTCCACGCTTTGTAATAAAAGTAACTTGTCTATAAACCATGTGAATTGTTGTTTTAGAAGAGAATGGTATTTGTTGACAGTGATATGTATAAAAAAAACCCAACCAAGCACCAGCAATACACAGCAGCAGGTTCAAAGACTGATACACGATAGATGCCGTGAATTTTTGCCAAAGCTGGGAGGAGGTAATTCCTGATGCCTCTTTAAAGATTGCTTTCTGTTGGGGCTGAGGGGGAGCAGAGACTTCCACTACAAATCACATCAGCTTGCTTGGCCTAATTTAATCTTGCCCGCTCTCAGCTGATGAGGTGGAGGAGTGGAGAAGAGCATGGTATGAGAACTGCTCCATAATGATGTCAGCTGTAGACAAGAGAAGCCGTAATGATGCTTCACCTGTAGTGCAATCTGTTTGCCACTGGCTTTCATCTCAGTGTTAATACTGATAAAAGCTTGAGTTCTCTGATATCCTGGTTACCAGTTTAACTGATAAAGTGGCCAATTCACTGATAATATTATTTAAGTAGTGGTGAATGATTAAAACAGCAGAATCTGGATTCTGTGTAAATAAAGTAGTGTGGAAATAACTGATAGCGTGTACAAGAAATGAGTTCAATAAAATAATAAGTGCTCCATGCTATCTTGTTTTCCTGTCTCCAATCCATCATTTCTCTAGGTAAAGTGTGAATGATGTCTGTAAAACAGCCTAATTATCCCTATGGATTGAGTTTTGTGAAACTCGCCTCCATAGATGCCCTGATTCCTGTGTACTGCTACACAGTGCAGTGGGTGAGATAAGGAGCATTGAGTTACAGGCATGGTCAGATGTTTTCCCATTGAGAGCTTTCATGAAGCTTAGACTGGAATGTTGACCTTTGAGTTGAGATGGCAAATTAAACATTCTGCTAATAAAGGCACGGCTCTAGATCGTGTGTTGGAATCCAGAAGTGATTGGTGATCCAGTGGGCTGGGTCTGATCTTCACAGACCTGTTCCTTAGGATGTGTTGCTGGGACTCTCTACTGTTATGTAAATATGTGCTTTGTTTTAAGAAATAGCGAGTAGCTTGAACCTTCTGCATCGCTTCACCTTATGTAAAGCCTGTCTCTATGGTTAAAGGCTGTGTTATAGCTTCTTTTTTTTCATGCCTTTAAAGGCGTAGCTGTAACATAGGTAACGCTGTAAATATCTATAAACTCCTAGGACGGAAAGATCTGATCCTCCCCTTGCTGGCATTCTGAAAGCACGCACTTCCTCGTGTGATGTGAGCAGGCTGCTGAGAAATGAACTCAACGTGGCGCGCTGTCATTTGCTGTGCTGAATCACCTACGGGCGCTGGGGCTGCAGGGAGGGAACTTTACGACGTTGGTTTAGAATAGCTTTTGAACTCAGTTGTTTTGTGCTGACTAAAGATGATCTTGCTGGAAAGGAAGAGGCATGTGAGCCTCTTATCTCTGGAAGACAATTCCCTCCCCCTCCCCACTGTCAAAAAGAAAAGAGAAAAGGAAGTGGACAGAGGGTGGATTTATTTTGTTGTTTGTGTTAACTCCAGTCCTGCCCTATTCTGAGTATCTTCTGCTGCTCAGAAGCTATGAAAAATCTCCTTTTCATGCAAGCTGATAACGATGCAGATTTGAATGTGGTGCCTTCTTTGCACATGAACACGCACGCAGCGAACACCAGGGCAGCCTCAGGTCTGAAAGCTGATGTGATGGAGTGTTAATATCCACACAGTCCCACTGCAGCAGGACAGCATCCTGGCAGTGCTGAAGACCCAGAGCAGCTCCTGCCCCTGGAAGAGCAGCTCAGAAGTGCCGGGGACAAGGCTAGCCTAGGTGTCACTTTGTAATAAGCAGAAAAGCCTTGCCAGAACATGTGAGGTTAGGTTTGAAATCCCCTGCAGCCTCAGGTGACTTTGTGGTGTCCAACATCTTATTCAGTATACATGAGCTCTCTGTGTGTGTGTATATATATATATGTGGTGTATTAATAGCATCTTGATGAAAAGTTTGGCAGGTCACCCCATGGGTTTCTGTTTTTCATTTTCCCCTCCCTCCTCATGTCTTCTTACAGGGTTTTAAAGCCTTTCTTTTCCAGGTTGGGTGACTTGTTTCTGGCATCTGACTTTTATCTGCAGCCACGTTTGCTCTTAACAGATCCTGTTTATTGCAGTCTTATGAAGCCAGTCATTAAGTTTGTGTTTGTAACCTGTTTATATTCCTAAGAACTGACCCAAGTAGAGCAGATCTCTTCAGAAACATCTTGTAATACAACACAAGGTACAATTAACGATCACTTGAGAGACAGGGAACTGATTTTTTTCTAAGCCCATTAGAGGCACACGTTTCAGTATAGCAGATTCTGTGGCTTGGCCGGAGCAGAAAGAAATCACTTGATTCACTTTTAAAATAGAAACTTGGTCTGATCAAGGCCCAGAACCTTTTTGTTTGAAGCCTGAGCAGCTCTGCAGAGCTGCACTTGGTTACCTGCATTGCAGAGCCTAGTGATGAGTGTGTGATACGTATGAAAGCTCTGGCACACATTGGAGTAGATGCACTCTAGAGACCATTGGTGCTTTATGAAGTGCACTGGTGTGCCCCTGCATCAAAGTCCTGCTGCCTTGCAGCGAGAGACACAGCTGTGGCAATGTCACTTTGCTTTGGATTTGTGCATTAAAGTGAGTTTCCACTTAAAATCGTGATTTAAAAGGTCCTTGAAATGACACCAGGGAAACCCTCAGTTAACAAAGGAAAATCATCTTCGAACTCAGCATAGGTGCAAGAAGGACAAATCTTTGTCAGCGACTGTCTCACCTCCTCCCTGAAGCGTTTGTCAATTACTTACCTGTTGGTAACTTTGTGTTTTCCATCCTAAACCGTATCATCTCTTAAAGGTGGATACTTTGAGTCATTGTTGCATTGCACAAAAAACAATTGCACTGTCCTGACACAATCTATGTAATGTCACAGAATCGCAGAACAGTTTGGGTTGGAAAGCACCTTAAAGCTCATCCGGTTCCAATCTCCTGCTGCAGGCAGGGACACCTTCCACTAGAGCAGGTTGCTCCAAGCCCTATCCAACTGTCATCATCTACTGACAGATTCTGTAGAGCTGTGGGTGTTAACTTGGGCTATAGCCTTTCTGGCACCAACAGATGCTGGAGGCTGTTGGTCTTGAGAGTGGAATTATGGAGTACATGGTTTGCACCCTGCTGGGTGAAGCTGACACCAGTTATCTATTCTCTGTGTAACCCAGATAAGGGGATGAACTTCTCCATTGTGCCAGCAGAGTTCTGGGGCAGGGTGGATGGAGGTTGTACCTTGATGGGGAGAGATGAGCCCTTCTACCTGCGGGAGATGGTTTACCCTGGGAGCAGAGGGAAGCTGGTGACATGACTCCATCTGTGCTTTCCCCCTTGTGTGCACAGTGGATGTGCTTTTGCTCCTTATGTCAGCAGCAGGACTGGGACAAAGAGAGCTCTGTGTGCTTGCTGAGCTGTCTGGGACTCTCTTAAAGTTGCAGGAGACTTCGGTTTAATATAGGTCTCGGTGGCCCTGGTTTACTTGGAATAGTGCCTCATGTACTTCAGAACATGAACCCATGTTGGAGTGTTGCCCTGATGGAGTGGGTTAGAGTGAGTGGTGACAGAATGATCCGCTTTGGTGAGAGATTATGGATGCT